GCTATTGTTATCATTTTTATAATCGTTATTATCACCATCCTCAATCATTATTATTATTATTATTGTTGCTATCATTATTACTATTGTGGAAAAATTCACTACACCCCTCTCATCTCCCTCTCGTTTCCCTCTCACCTATACTTATTAGTCCAGTTGGTACACCACTTCCCTCTTTCTTTTACCCTGTGTTGACTTATTAGTCTCTCTCTCTCTCTCTCTCTCTCTCTCTCTCTCTCTCTCTCTCTCTCTCTCTCTCTCTCTCTCTCTCTCTCTCTCTCTCTCTCTCTCTCTCTCTCTCTCTCTCTCTCTCTCTCTCTCTCAAATGCTACTCCTCCTCCCCTTCTTCTTACCCTTCCTCTAATCTTCCCCATCCTCTAAGCGTCCTCTCCTCCTCCTCCTCCCCTTACTCCTCCTCTTCTTCTTCGTCTTCCTCTGTTCCTCCCCTTCTTCTCCTTTCGTCTTTCTCTGTTCCTCCTCCTCGTCTTCTTCTTCGTCGTCTTCTCCTCTTCCTCATCCTCCTCCTCCTCCCCTTACTCCTCCTCTCTCTCTTTCGTCTTCTTGTTCTCTTCGTCCTCTTCCTTCTCTCCCACATATGGATCAGTAGAGGCTAACGAGTGTGTAATCATTGCACAACGTAGTTAAGTCATCCAGTATAGAGAGTCCCAATTAACTGTTCTTATGCTCAAATTACACCCAGTGAACAATGTATCAAGTTAAGTCCTATTCTTTATCTGGTTCTTGTGACTGATAAATCTGCTAAGTTATTGTACAAGTGAACGTTAGTCAGGGATAATAACCCTACTTGTTGCTTCATCCATGAGTATACACCTAAATGAGGGATTTTTTTCGGATTTGGGGATAACGAATTACTTGTTTTATTTTTTAGATGTCCGTCCCCGTATGATGATAGCCTGGATTCCAAAAGTACGTAATTTTTCGGGTAATGAGATAAATACTCACTCGTTATTCCTTCAAGAAAAGCGAGGAGGTGAATTCCAAAGTTGGGATTATTCAGATTAAGGGATAAATTAGTCGACTTTTGTTTCATCTTGGGGGTCGTTCCTTGGTCATCAATTCCCACACCAGCCTTGGCACCTGTGTCTCCCGCCCCTTGAGTGAGTGAAAGACCTACAGGTGGAAGGTAAAAGTCATCAACATCACAGACTAAAAGTTATCATAATTCCACTCAAACAAATACAATGTTTTGTATACTGGGAGGATATAACATTAGACAGGGTGGTCGAAAAGTTCCTGTGCACCTGTAATAATTAACAGTTTAGTTATCCCTTGTTATACCTGCATTGTTATATACCTACTTACAGTAAATGTTGGAAATGATATCCACTTCCAACATTTACTATAACCATTTACAATATATACTGTAACTACAAAAGGTAAACAATGTAGACATAACAAGGAACACGTGTAATGGTTATTACTACAGGTGCTTAGGGACTTTTCGACCACCCTGTATATCAGTGATTTGTTATTTTTACATAACTAAAATCCTATTAGAGAGGAAATAATAATAAGGATTCTCGTATAATTATTAAGGATAAAACATTCCGGTAACTACAAATCCATTTAAACAATTCTCGGACGATCAGTTGCGGGAAGTGAAAATTGTACCTCACGTTAATTATTACTTTTCATTTGTAGAAATTAATCATATAGACCTGATAAATTCAATGATCATTAATTACGCTGCAAGATTTCATGTTAATTCAAATTCCACTTAAACGAGTTGTTGATATTAAATGTTATTACTTTAAATAATATCTATAGCCTCGTAGTCATTATTTGTTTATACACCAATCATCGACAAGAACGATTAAGGGACACTCGTGCATCTCTGGTGTTGACTTAAGTGAGGAAACGACTCCAGGCCTCTCCATGACAACCTTAGACGGAGATCATCTGTGTGTGTGTGTATGCAAAGGTCTACACACACACATGTAAATAACGCAGTCAAGACATGCTACGACTACTAAGGTCACTTGGGACACCCACGCCAGAGCTGAGGACCATCTACAACGCCTTTATTCTCCCCAAACTAACGTATGCGTCACCAGCCTGGTCGTCTTCTCTCAACTCCACCCAACAACGTCAGCTAGAGAAGGTACAGAAAAGGGCCTGCAGAATCATGCTCGGCGCAGAATACTCCGGCTACACCAACGCTCTCTCCACCCTGGAAATGCCATCCCTCAGTGACCTCCACCACCAAGCACTGGAAAGGTTTGGCAGCCAACTAATGCACCACCCTCGTCATCGCCACCTGCCACCGGCAACCCCCCACCCACCTCGCACTGATAGATATAAGAACAGCACCATCCCATCTATTGTTAAAATAATAAACAACTCCTGATTTATGTACTGTACAGCCCTGTAAATGTATTCAATGCATATTATATCATTATGTCTAAATCAAATGTTAGTCTGTATATTTTCAGCCACCGGCTGCAACTCTATTAATAAACCGTTTATTATTATTATTATTATTACTATTATTATTACACACACACACACACGTTCACATTATCCAGGTCAAATTGTGTAAGAAAATATAAGAACGAAAGTTTACTCAAGTATCGAGGTAGCCCCGAGCACCACTAAACCAGGAGGAAGGGATGGAGAGGAGAGTGGTCATGTTTGCTAGAGGGCGCAGGTGTAAAATATTCCTTGTTACTACAGACAAGAGAAAGGATACAGTTTTAATGTAAAATAGTGTATATAGTTTCAGCAATAATGGTGTATCAAGTTCTGTAAGCTGAGTGTGTGGTTTTGTGAATTGAGTATGTAATTCTGTAACCCGAGTGCATCTTAACTCGAGTGCGTGATTCCGTAACTTGAGTAAAAGGGTCTGTAACTCGAGTGAATGGTTCCTAAACTCAAAAGCGTGGTTCCATAACTTGAGTGCATAGTTCCATAACCTGGGTGCATAGTTTCATAACTGGAGAGTGTATTGCTGTTGTTGTGCAGACAATAAGAAACTCTACTGCGTTCTGTTTACGTCTCTACAAAGTGTACGGAAACCGGCTCCTTTAATTTCCCAGGAGAATCACCACCTCTAATTAAACAGCTTCCGACACTTTATGATCCTAGCGTCTATTATACCAGCCACTTAAACTGACCACTTACCAGCTGTAAAACTTTACATATTGACGGGTGTTGATAAAGTATAAGTAGAGGCCTGGGTAACGAAGTTTATCATTATTGACGATTTAACCTACTATACTTAGCAAGTGTAAAGTGTATATACTTACTCCTGATAGTAAGTTTAAGTGCATAAGTTGACGTTTAAGTAATATATTTCATCCACATTGTCCACTTACCTATTTAATTGGTATAAAAGTGTGTATATGAGTACCTGTAACTAAGTACGGGAATAATCTTAATTAAGTGGGGGTGTAATTAACAACTTTACCTCATTAACTGTTAATGAGAACAGAACTGTAATAATTATGACGTGTGTGTGTGTGTGTGTGTGTGTGTGTGTGTGTGTATGTGTGTGTGTGTGTGTGTGTGTGTGTGTGTGTGTGTGTGTGTGTGTGTGTGTGTGTGTGTGTGTGTTTCCTTCAAGGTGATAGTTATTCTATGGTTATTAACTAAAAAAATCAGTGATATCAACTTTAAAACACCGCCTTAAACACATCCAAAAATCAAGATTTGTTAAAGGCATATACTGTACATATATCTCCCCAACACACCTGAAGCTCTTTATATGTTTAAGCTCAGGTGTTCAAAACTTGTCCTACAGTTAAGAGATAAAGTCAATATTTTCCGTTTCCCATTGTTGACTCCATCGTCTTTATGACCTTCCAAAAACAAAATCAATTCCTTCCCCGAGTCTTTTCTTCCCTCAATTTTTTTTATTTTTCCTTCCTATCAAAGTTTATGTAGCTTCTCTCTATTCTCTAATCTGCTTTCTAACTAAATAAAAATTAATATATTATCTTTTTATGTTGTGAGAGGCCGCATGTTTACCGATGAGTTTCTCTTTGATCAGTTAGTCAATTTTGTGATTTATTGCATTTCAGTAAAATCTATTATTGTCATCTAATATGTATAGTTGTTAATAAACAGTTATACGAGATGAAAGTATATTATTAATTTTTACCGGATGTCTTCCATGTAAGTGTAAGCGTCAGAAGGCTCAGAATAAAGCGCTGATGGTCATTTTAACTGTCACGGTTTTTAAGAGCAGGGTATATTGCTTCTGCCAGCTCCTGACGTCATAGTAATCAATCAAGGCGGAGTGTGTGTGTGAGGCCAGATGTCTCCTGTCTTTATATAACAGTTGACACTTTCATTTCATGGTTGTGATCTGCTACACCCTGCTTATATTATTTACTTTCATTATGTACAGGTACACAAACAATGCACATAGTGTAGGTAAAAACACATTGTACATAGACAGTGTAGGTATACATGTACATAAACAGTATATATACAAAAAAAATTATGCTGTCCTAGGCAATGCAAGTACACAAACAATGTACTGTATGTACAGAGTGTATGTATACAATGTACTGTACATAGACAATGCAGTTATGCATTGTGTATAGTGCAGGCATACAGCACAATATACTGTACATAGGTAGTACAGGTATACCAACAGCAGTAAACAGTAAATTGGTTAACCAAGGACAGCCCAATAATGTTTTTAGAATCTTAAATCCACGAGGGTCATTATTTACTGTTGGAGGGCTAATAAAATAATAATAAATCTACAATATCGATAGACACTTCTGACTTTGAGATGCACCATATTGGTGGGTCACTGCCCTGCTGTTCCACATCCTTAATTATTACAAAGAGTGAGATAAACTACTAATGCATTCAAATTACAGACTACAGGTGAAATAAACTAGAGGCTAATTTGCAGGTGATCAAAGAAAACTAGGTCCTTTTGATACGGGTTTGTAGTAGTGCATACAGTCAAGAGATGGCGAGCCAGGGGCCAACATCACGCCTTTAAACACAGTTAAATCCCATCATTCCTCGCCTTGGTTAAAGATTAATTGTATGGTAAACAAATAGTCGGGGTGAAGGAACTTTCACTCGTTAACATAACTTGGATCTCAATTTTCTGCTTCACTACTAAGTCTACAGTTACGGGAGGTAGCTGGTGGTTCATAAGTGAACGGATCAGGTGAATGAAGTTTGAGGAAAGTTGAAGTGCTTGAGGCATTTTCTCATTATCCCCTGTTACAGTTATCCTAAAAATTTCTTGAACATATAATTTCGAGGAGAAATTTTATCTGTGGGCCTGTTAGTTAGTTTACTGATATATCGATCAGTGTTCTCCTCTTGTACAGTAAAATTCATTTTAAGATGCACTTTTCCTGTTGTATCTTAATTACTGTTAGAACAGCAAGTGGGCCATGGCCTCTGTGCCTTCACTATTCTCTCCAATGAAACCAAACATCACTTTTCTGTTCCGATTGTAATTCGGTAAATTTTTACTTTAGGACATGAGTCTCTAGGAGTTGACCCAATATGTTTTTCCAGTGTTTTTTGGTGTGTTTTAAACGAATCTGACCTTCATTTTTGGCGGAAATTGATCGTTTTTTGCCCCCCCCCAACAATAAAGGGGGAAATCAGGGTTTTGGGTGGCTGAGAAAACGAAAAGTCATCTAACCTAACCCCTAGACGGGGGCTCCACCCCCGAACCCCCAGTAGGCCTAGCTTAAACTAACCTAAATGTTTCAGTAGTTAAAAACTTTGGGGCGCGCCATGTCCGAAAGTACAATACCTTAGTTAGAAGTGGAAGTACCAGGGATACATAAGAATTGGATAGAATGATCGTCTTTCTCGTAAAACTCGGCAATAAACTTAAAATAATCGTAGGAGCACAAATGACAACCAACTTCCACCACGGCCATTGTGAGACTCCTAAATAAAATTACCCAGGCTGCTTTCTTTGAAAAAAATCAAATGTGATTGGTCGAAAAAAATTTGCATGATGATATCGATACATCATTGGTCATGACTGGATGACGTCAGTCTATTGCGCATGTGTGATGCGCCAATAAATCTCCTCAAATACTGAAAACTATGTAAAATCATGTATATATGGGGTTCAAAATGCTCAGAATAGTGAGATATAAATGTTTCAGTAGTTTATAACTTTTGGGTGCGCTATGTCCTAAAGTAAAATGATACCGGTAATTCTCTTGTTAATTTACATACAATAGTATTATTTTTTATAAAGTATTCGTTTATTGGCTATCCTCAGGTTTTGATACAATTTTTGTGTGTGTGTGTGTGTGTGTGTGTGTGTGTGTGTATTATGGTACATTTTACTCAAATTTGATCTTCATTTTTGGTGCAAATTAGCTGCTTTTGAGACTGCTACTTTGCACCAAAATGGCACTCAGGTTTGAGTAAAACACACCATAAAACACCCCAAAAAACTCTAACCTAACCTAACTTAACCTTACCATTTTTAGGAGCTTACCTGCTACTGTGGTGGAGGATACAGTTGGGCAATCTGGTATGCTTATGGTTACAGACAAACGAAGTTTTGTCTTTTTTAAAATAAACAATTTCCACACGCAGGACACAGTCTTGATGTTAGTAGGACACCGTGATCTTGTAGTATTAGGATTGCTTTACTATTGTTCCGATAAACTAGCAGAATAACAGCTAGATAAGAGAGAGAGAGAGCACTTTTTGCACACCATCAAGAACCTTCAAAATGGCTGCTTCAGCCTTCAGAATGGCTGCTTCAAAATGATTGGCCAGCCATTGTCACATGACAATACTTGAAGATCATTGATTGTCATGTCGCAAAGAGGAGGAGGAGAAAAGTGACTCTGGCAACATGGCTGGTGCAGAAACTTAAGCCTAGAAATTTGTGAGATACTCCGCTAATATTGATTTACACCGGAAATGCTATTTACTCGTTTGTTTGGTTTGTCTAGTCTTTATGGCTGTGAATTGAATATTGAAATGTGCGGACAGTCATTGGACGAATATTAACCTTATTTTTCTTATGATCCGTAATCACTTTGATAATTAAAAAAAAAAAATTGGCAGGTCAGTCGTTAATATTAACCTTGCATAATACAGTAGTAAGTAATAAATATAATACAACAATGCACAGAACCTAAGCTAACCTGACCTAACCAACTAAAGAAACCTATCTAATCTTACCTTACTTCCTAGCCAAGGGGCAGACTCCCTACCATATTAAACAGAAAGTACTTACTTTGATTTCTGGTACCGATAAAAGCAACTTTCTTGAAGCAGCATGGTGTAATTTTACATTTTTTGTGGATGTGAGAGTATGCTCGGGTGCTCAGTCTGAGTGTAAGCAACAGACGACAACACGCACCAATACGGCAGATTTTTCAGCTAAATATTTATAGAAAATAATTAATTTCTTCCCATATAAAGCATGTGGAGATATCATTTTAGTATCATATAATCAGTTTTCCACTGTCTTTTACCCTGAAATATCCCTCATCCTTCATATCCTACCTACTACAGGTGATTTATGATCTTAGAAAATAACTAAAAAATAATAAAATAAATACTAGTAATTAAAATAATAAGTTGTATCGTTTTTATTACTATCATTCAAAGAACATCTGCGGAAAAAATAATGAAATCGAACAACTCCTGGTGTCTGCTACAGTATTACCTCAAATTTTAATTGTTTGTTTAATTAGTTTAATTAGCTTTCACTATCTGCCCAAGAACGTGTAGAGTGAGGTCTGTGGTCGCCAACCCTCAGATATGGGGAAGGCACTCTGATTGATTGATCCTCCATTAGCAATCTAAAGGTGAAACAATTGCTCTGACCATTGAGCTTTTTTTGCACCTGTTCAGTCATACATTCGCTTCTTCTTAGTAAAAAGATTGTCTGTTGATTTAGTTTCATCGCCTCAGGCTATTGAATTTTCCAATCATGCTGCGCTGATACATTGCCACTTTCACTTTAACCAATGATTGCATTGGCGGATTGTGCCTGCGCTGATAAGAGCGTGGGTGAACTGCCACTGTAATTAGTTTAAATCATGGCCTGTTATCAGCACGTTTGTAATTGTTGGCCAGTTTTATGATGAAAATAGAAAAAGTATCTATTTTTTACATTCACATGGTGTGTTGCCATTCCTTGTGAACTGTGCTAATTGTAGCTCGCCTGTATTTTTAGAGAAGAGAAGCATTTGTTAGCTTGTGTTAAATCTATTTGGGTTACTTTTTTTCTTTTTTTTTAATATCCAAACTGTGTTTTTTCCAATGATTTTTATGTGTTTTGCATGATTTCTACCATCATTTGTGTTGCAAATCACACATTTTTGTGAATCTCTTAACCTTAAACTTCTGGTTCCCACTGGGGATCCCTTTCGATTGTTAGGAGTATTGGGGTGATATCTCAACGAGCTATTTGCGACAGAAGTGAAGGTCAAAATCTTTCAAAACACATCAAAAACCATCGGAAAAACATACTGGTAGTTTGAATATCCAAAGCGATTATGAATCTTAAGAAAAAATTTACCCATGCAATATTTATGGAAAGTGTCCTTGCTTTCTCAGTTTTTTCATAATTCATGGATTTTACAATAAAATCAACAAATGTTTGTGTTATGTTGTGATAAAATATACTGCTTTGATTGTTATATCATTTAGATTTTAAAAAGAGATAACTATCTAATCTCCGCTGCCTTTTTTAGGGACTGAATTCTCAAGAAGGCCAAGCCAGAAGAAAAGTCATTCAAACCATTAAATATTTGGTTATATTATGGCACATCTCCTGCGACAGTCTGCACGTACCATAGTTATATTTCCATAAAGGTATCACTGAACTTCTCTCCTGAGCATATTGAACACCTTTCTACTCCTCCTAATTCGACTCAGGCTTGTAAGAATATTTTGTAATAACATTGTGGTAAAGTTGTGTGATGTTTAGATATTATGTCCAGTGATAGACATTATTCACATGATCTTGGAACAGCGATAAACATTTAGGTTATTCGTAATCATTCACTTGGTTGTCTTTTCAGTAACAGGTGAGATGTTCAGTGTATTTCTCAGATAAAGATAATCCACACAGGTCATTTGTCATTTTCTCTGATGATTGTTTAGGATCTTGAAGATACGGTATTCTTAAGATGGATATACCAGAACTTGTAGACGACCCAGAGGATAGAGTAGACTGTGCAGAGTGTGACCAATGTGGCAAGTTTATTAGGAAGGGAAACCTAAGCAGACATAAATTAAGTCACACAGGTGAGAAAAAGTTTGAATGTGGGGAATGTGGGAAAAAGTTCATGAGGAAGAACCACCTCAGCATGCATGAGGTTACTCACACCAAGGAGAAAAAGGCTAAATGTGATATATGTGGCAGACAGTTCACTAGGAAGAGCAGCCTTCATGACCACTTACTGATTCACACAGGTGAGAAAAATTTTGAATGTATGGAATGTGGGAAGCTGTTCACTCAGAAGAGCACCTTGAAAACCCACATGCGTCTCCACACAGGAGAGAGACCAGATAATGAGAATACATACAAATTTGAATGTGAGGAATGTGGGAAGATGTTTACACGGCTCAGTTACCTCACTGTTCACAAGACTATTCACACTGGCGAGAAGAAATATTCATGTGTAATATGTGGGAAACCCTTTGCCCATAGGAGTTCACTTAACTTGCATTTGGTAATTCACACAGGTGTTAAAAAGTACGAATGCGAGGAATGTGGGAAAAAGTTCATCAGGAAGAGTCACCTTGATTCCCACAAGCTGAGTCATGCAGGAGTGGAAAAATATGAATGTGATAAATGTGGGAAGAAGTTTGTAAGAAAGCAGTCCCTCAACAATCATAGTCTTATTCACATTGGTTGGAAAAGATTTAAATGTGAAGTGTGTGAGAAAAGGTTCCTTAGAAAGTGTGACCTTAATTCCCATCAACTAACTCACTCTGGTGAGAAAAAGTTTGAATGTCAGGAATGTGGCAAAAAATTTGTTAGGAAGTATAATCTTATCAGCCATGGTGTTGTTCACACAGGCTTGAAAAGGTTTGGGTGTGAGGATTGTGGGAAACGATTTACCACAAAGAGCTACTTGTCTCGTCATGTCCTACAGCACATGGACCAAAAGGTGGAAGTTTTGTCTGCATAGCTTGTTCATTCAGAACTTGTACTTTGGCAGTAATCATTAAGTATATTCATACCTTTCTGTCAGAAAGTAGACACTCTTCTACCACAGGAACCCAGACCCATTACATTCCTTACATATAGAAATAGGTCAATATTAGGGAATGACTGTGTGTGTTTTTGCACTCCTCAAAGCCTTTTGCCACTTATACACACACCAGCTAGAGTCAGAACCAACACAAGACTCATATACTGCCATTCATTCATTATAGTTATTGTAAAAAGATGTGTTTCCCCTTCTACAATAATGTAGTGAGGCTGTTATTTATGAGTCAACTTGGTACTGTATATATATTCACTGTATATAGCAAAAGGAAGTTTGTAAGATATAGATGAGATTATTTTTCACATCTAATGGTAAACTTCGTCATTCAAAAAGAAGTTGGAGGAAAAAAGTCATTGTATAATCTAGAGACAGATGAGGACTATGTTAGGCCTGGTCTACAGTACGGTAGTTAGAAAATATTCAAAGTCTAACCTAACCCAACCTAACCAAATTTGTTGTTGCTGCAGTTTTAAGATAAAATGTGACTTTTTTCCTAGCCAAAATTGTGTCATTTTGTTGTGACTATTTTCCCTGTGACTTTATTTCAGTTCACTGAAATTAAGGAGATATTATATTATGAAATAGCATGAATAGCACTGTACAGTAGTTTATATTAAACCGGCAAGTCAGACACACTGAAGTACTGTCCCTTTGGTGTTGAACAAATGTGACCAAGACAAAACTGGTGGTGGACTAATATGTAATAAAAACATTCCTCATGTGGAGGTAAAACATATTAATGTTTACTGCATCTCATTTCTAAATTACTGTACCCCTATACTCACAAATAATATTATAGTGCGTATATTAATACTGTACTTATGTGTTGGTGAACAGTTATCAAACCATAGCAGCATATATTTAAGTAATGTTTTCATTCCATGGTCAGGTCTAGCCAATGGAGAATGTCACCCATGTTTTGTGTGTGTTTGTTTAGCTATCTTAAACTTTATATTGTAGCCAAACGTTTCAGTGTCAAATTTTAGTGTCACTTATTAACAATACTGTATGTGTACTGTAGCAGTTTTTCTGTTTTCGAAAGTTCAGCAATAGACAGTTTGTGCCAGCAAAATTTTAGAAAATTCTTTGAGGATTTTGTATGTGGAACAAAGAAAGTTCATTATCCTTAATGACTAGACAAGTAGGATTTATAATTTGCAAATAACATGGTATTTCCCAAGTTGTATGGGAAACTTTTCATTTAATGAAGTCTCCCAAGTCAACAAGTCTACTATCATTGTACAAAGTTTGGTCTCTTACAAGAAACTCCACAAGTCCAACTGATATATGATGCATTGCAGGAATAAACATATTGCTGCCCCATATAAGATGTGTTGAATGTATAACTGATGTGTGTAGTGCTCTCCTCTAAAGTCACGAGGCTCACATAATACAGGCTGATTACTGGGAACTGAAGATACCCCCATCCATGACTCATTTATGCAAACCAAGGTGATTTATTAACACCATTAAGCAACCTGTGTAATAAGAAGCACCTGTGCATGGACAATAGTAGAAAGCAAGGTTTTGGGGTTTATCTTTTCTTTTATTTAACCAGGGAAACATATGCACAACTTTAAAGAAACACATCAGTCACTGTATGTATATGTCTATAGTGTATATATAGTCATTCATAGTACAGTAATAAAGTATCAGTACTGTACTTTGTTTCTCTATTTAGGTAGATTTTGGAGAAATACTTTTACTTATGTATTTTGAATATAAGGAACTTTTTTTAAGTACATCAAAAAGAAAAGATTAAACTGTACTTTTACTCATTAATTTTCATTTTAATTTGTATGAGGTCCGACACAAAGATAATGAGACTGACCCTATAACTCGGGAACCAAGAGTGGGAGGAGAGGGACAAACAGATGGTTATTGAACATGTTCTAACCTATCACACTGTGACAAGGCTCAACTCGATCGCTTCACTCGGTACAAGTGGACGTGTGTTGAAGTATAGACGTGTTCTTACGCTCGGTCGGAAAATGTCGGACTGCAAAACTGAGCAACGAGTTAGCATCACGTTTCTCGTCAAACTTAAGAAATCTGTGACGGAAACTTTTAAATTATTGACTGAGGCTTACGGTGAAGATTGCATGTCTCATGCACGCGTTTTTGAATGGCACAAACGATTTTTGGAAGGCAGAGAAACCGTGAAAGATGATGACCGCCCAGGCAGTCCACGCACAGTAGTTACCGATAACAACATTGAAAAAGTGCAAGATGTGATTAAAAAAAAAAAAACGTAGGTTGGGTGTTCGAGCAATAGCTGAGAAAGTTAATTTAGACAGGGAAAGTGTTCGACACATTCTAACAGAAGAATTGAACATGACAAAGGTTTGTGCAAAAATGGTTCCAAAAATGCTGTCTGTGAGGCAGCTTTTAGCCAATAAAAACATCATTGTGCTTGAGCACCCACCCTATTTGTCAGACCTGGCTCCCTCCAACTTCTACCTCTTCCCAAAGATGAAGTCCGTGCTCAAAGGAACCAATTTTTTGTCGGTAGAAGAGGTGAAAGCAAAAACGAAGGAGCTCCTCAACAGCCTTACAGAACATGATCTGCGAATTGCTTTGAACTGTGGCAGCGTCATATCCAGCTGTGTGTCAACTCAGAAAGGAAGTACTTTGAAGGCGATCACAGTTGATTTTCTTAATTTGGGTAAATGAAAAGAGTTACAGCATCAGTCTTTTTTTTTTGTGTCGGACCTCGTATTACTTACTGAATGCAGTGATATTTTATTCAGGCTCTGTGGGTTGACTAACATTCAGTCACAAGTGTTCCACAGTAGGCAACAAAAGTTTTGAAAAAAAATTTTGTTTCTGAAACTTGAAAGTTTTCAAAAGTAGAATGTAAATACCCCTGTAATCATAATTTTTTATCTGTTATTTGTAATTTTATCTTGTTTCTTTCAAATGCTGTATATTGTAACCTTGGCAATCAAGACAAATGGAACTCAGGCAAAGTGTCCACTATAGCAAGATGTCCACTTTATTGAATACTGTATGGAAGAAAATAAACAAATCCTACAATTAGGATTCTTTTAAATGTGTAAATCATATTTTAAGACAAAGGCAAATATCCATACAATTATAGTTGACCACGGCTGAACTGTACTCTTCATTCTTGAACCCAGTTGATGATCATAATTCACCTTCATGTTACCAGTAGTCATGCCTGGACTCTGATGTGCCGTCTGGTGTGCCATGAGGCAGCACTGTCATAACCATAACCCTCTCGATAAGTTTTAGTACATAACTTAAAGCAGTCTGGCATCCAGATCACTGGGATGTGTGGTATTTGGGACAAAAAAAATCCGCATTCCTGATTAAAAGATGTCTACATTAGCCATTAATTTAATGAATTTATATATGTAGTAAATTATTCAGGACTGAGAAAAACCAGCCACATTAAAGCTATTTCCTATTTATTGAAGCTTTACTGTATATATAACTTTTAGCTCAACTTTCTGATCATAATCACTGTGCTTCAACTGAACTAGTTTAGGAGAAGTACACTATACTGTACTGTACTTAGTAATTTGAAGCAACATAGTGTCCATAGTGTCTTTAATGAACTACCTACTCTGTGCAGTCAAGAAAAAATAATTATTGCACATCTTGGGTCCGATGGAAATGGGAATTAGCAAATACTGTACCTCAGCCACTCATGGTAGGTTTCAGTTTGGTAAACCCGCATTTTCTAAACATTTCATCCCGTGTTCCAGAATGAGAAGTACAGAATGCGATGTTACAATTATTTTGTTGTCTGTACATTGGGACAAAGATCTTGAAAATACTGTTCAGGGGTAGTTGAATTATTGACTTGTACACTTGCTACAGAAAGTATATGCAAGGTGGGTTCCGATGGATGTCAAAATGAACACTGCGACTCCTTTTGTTTCGGTAGGATTGTTAGTCTTTCGTCCATTGTGTCATATTGTCTAGCAAAAAGTTTTGAAGATACTTTTTGTAGCAAGTGTACATACTGTAGTAGTATGTATTCCCCTTTAAAATCTATAAGAAATTTTTTTTAAATACCATTCATTGTACAGTACAGGTGTACGAATTACCGGTACTTTTTAGGGGGCTATTACGGTATGCATTACTGTATAATGTTACAAATTACTATATCGTAGATTCAGTGAAGAATTTCCCTTTTCTATTATTATTAATTTAATAGTGATGTAGTTTTTCGTTATTATACTTTATACAGTACAGTACAAGACCAAATAATGTCATTAAAAATTATTTAAATGTACCTCCCCCCCCCCACACACACAAATTCGCTGGGTTTAGATTCTGCAAATTGCCAAATCCGCGAATAACATTTTTACTTGTGTACAAAGTAATGTATATCTCCTTTATGTGTTTGCTCTTAGGACAGTTATTTCTTTTACCTGTAGTTTTGTATGTGTTATGTGTGTGTGTAGACACACACATAACACATACAAATAAATAATAATTGGAAAATCCCCTCACAAATAATCTGAAACAAATTTATTAAAAATGCGAGTCTACCCTCAAGTCCGTGCTCTATTAATAAAGTACAGTACAGTACTGTACTGTAATAGAGGATGGAGTTGAGGGTAGACTGTCACATTTTTAATAAATTGTTTCTGATTACAGTAAGTCCTCGCTTAACATTGAGGTTACGTTCCTAAAAATGCAACGTTATACGGATCAATTTTACCCTTTAAGAAATAGATAAGATACAGGAGTTACATTCCTGAGCCTCCCTTTGCCCCATTACATATACATAAAATCATTGCCATTTCTGTATAAAATTATGCATACATATACAACTACTGTACTAAGTTTGTATTGGTACTCGCCAATGGGCAGAGGTGGTAGAGCGAGTGTGTGGTGGGTAGTGAAGCAGAGGAGGCGGGAGGGGAGGAGGAGGAGGAGGAGGGTGGCGAGTCACTGAAACTGGCCAAGCCGAGAGAGCATAGCACGGCCAGACGAGAGATGGTGATGCACTGTAAAATGTAGTCTGTGACGACGCAAAATGACATAGTATTGGATCACGGGGACATTAAACGAATTTTGGGTCTCTAAAGTTTAGCGACGTAGTACCGAAACGTTAAGCGCGGACTTACTGTATTTGTGAGGGGATTTTCCAATTATTATTTATTTGTATGTGTTTTGTGTGTGTCTACACACACACACATTTACAATATAGGTAAAGGAAATTACTGTCCCAGCCACGAAAATGCCGGCAACTTTAAAACTACCCACAGACATTCTTGGGTACATTCATGGTGTCATCCGCAAATAACTGAGAACCGCGAAGTAAAAATCCGCAAACTTGGGGGGCTGTACTCTAAAGAGAAATAAAGAATATTGTAGTTTCTTTTATACATAATGGAGTAGTGTTTGTGCCCGTGTGTAATTGTTTGTAGTTTATAGTAAGGCAACATATATTCCTCCACTGTACACATATTTATACACTTGATGTGCATGTTGACAATATTTTATATATTATTAAGACCATTTCTCTTGTATATTTTATTTTGGAGTTTTTGCATTTAAAATGGCAAATTCAGAATTGTAGATTGGTAGATAAAGCTCGTCCATAATCAGTGTGTCCAGTGACTTGTCGCCAAAACACAATGTGGAGATGGCAGGTCACTACAGGTATAATCGTTTGAGTTATACATGTTCTCCAGGGAACTTATATTTGGTACAAAGGTTAGTCAAAATTTTTGGAAATGTGAAAATAAAGTCACAAGTTCAGAGTAATTATTTCTTTGAGTAATCGTGATTGTTAGGCTTACCAAATGAACTGACTTGACTCTCTTGTAATTTTTGTTGTGGTGATTAAACATAACATCAAACCGTGTCTTTAACTACATTCTGCTGTTGTTACAGGAGGTCAGTATTTACACAAAAGGTAACACCATTAATAATTTAATTTTTGCCAGAGTAAAAAAAAAAAATAAAATAAAATAAGTTTAACTAATACAGCATTAGAGACTTTTTCACACACAAAAACTTGATGTACAGTCTCATTTAAGATTCTTCAAACAATGCTGGAGACAGCTGACAACTCAAGGCCATTTGTTTACTATAGTACGTAGTATAATATAATACAAAACAACAAAGCCCGACCATAAAATTAAGCAACAGGGAACTAAGTAACCAATCACTGATCACTTTTACATTTCATAATTTTTACAACGTACTATAGTTAACAAACGGCCTTGAGTTGCCAGCTGTCTCCAGCAGTGTTCGAAGAATCTTGAAGGAGATTGTTCAACCACCCCCCCCCCCCTTAACAACTACCCTCACTGAAAGGTAGGACCCACTCAGGGTACCAACCCCATTTGTTGCTTGTCCTCACTAGCTGATGTGCAAGGTGTCCCACAACACATTTGCCACAAAAATCTGTAAGGTAGTGTTAATAAATCTTTTGAGACACCCTGTACGTAGTGACTGAGATTTGGAGTCTCTTATATCCGGGCTAACCACTTGGAGAAGAGGGCACTAAGGAGTGAGATAAACCCTCTTTTAAGAACTGTAGTAAGAAACACAAACGCAATTTAATTTCAGTATTTTAATACAAAACACATGCAGCTCCAATACCCACCATTACCACAGTGAAAATACAAGTCATGAATGAAGATTGTGTATTATATGACAGAGAAAAAAGGGTTACAACACTGGATGTTCTTAAGCTAACAGAGCTTTGTTGCTGTTACTTCCTTGTGATAAACATCATTGTCATCTGATCACTTGTGTCGGAACCAGATGTATTTGCAGCAGATTCTAATGAAGTTAAGTAATTAGTGTTATGTATGACCTACAAAACTAAATGATTAAAATAAGTTTGTTGTATAGCATCAAAAGAAAAATTTTCTTGGTTACTTTAAACAATAATTTTATTGTTTCTGAAATGTATAAAAATTTGTGATTTTCCAATACAAATTTATTTATCCTTTAGAAAACAAACTACTTTACTTAGACACCTATTTTTTCTTCTTCTTGCCTGATGTATTTTCAGCGCCAGAGGTTGAGGCAGAAGCAGCATCTTGAGGAGGAGCCCACTTAAGGGGGTATCGTCGGTAGACTGGCCAGGGAGGCAACGTTACCTGAAGAATTATTCGAGTCATTAAGAATTTCTTAATATATTTTGATGTGCAACTTAGCATCTTGTGTCATTTAACCTCTAACTTAAGTATATAATTCAGTGTATAATCTAATAGTTAGAAGTGCCTTTTCATTCCCAGTAATCAGTCTCATCACATGACAAGATCCTTCAACTTTCTCAGTTTTTGTTTTCTAACAAGTTACATTGTATTTCCTTTTCCAACTGGGTTAGGTAATACAATGTGCCAAAATGAAAAAAAAAAGTTTAGTTACAGCTTCCAAAATATAACTCAACGTACTAAGTTAATAATTCCATGGACTCCTAACAGACAAAACTCAACATGATGAACTTCACCAGGTAAATTCCTTGGGTGCCCCACCGCCCACAAAAGGGAACTCACTCAATGTTTTCATTTATTTATTTATGCCAGGCCACAATAGGTAAGCAGTATTATGTTTTTTGTTGTTGTTGCTCTGCTGATCTTCCACACAGGTACACAAGCTCAAATTTCAATGGTTATATATCTAATACTGTAAAGTAAATGAATTCTTCCCTCAAACCACAACTCAAATAACATAGACTTTTCAGATACCCTTCCAGTAATTACTGTTATACAACTGAAAGTACAAAAATGTATCATTATTAGAATGAATCTTTCAATTATCTTCATACTCATTGGAAGAAACACTACCAAAGCAACATGCTAGACTACAGTACAGTACTGGGATACAGTGAACTTGCTACAAAATATGTCTAGGATTATACCTAGTACTGTATTTCTCAAAAGCTAGGGTGGGATTATACATGAGGTATATGAAGAAATCGGGCCTTTTCACCCAAAAAAAATCAAGAGTTGGATTACACGAAATACACAAGCATATACAGTAAATCTTACATTTACGAGATAGATCAGAAAAGACTCTTTACCGAGATTGTACCAACAAAAACACGTACTGTACTGTATTTTACTAAACGAGTGTAATAATACTAACCAAGCACGCTAACACAAAGCCGGCACCAAGGGTGAGGACAGTCATAAAGAAGTCTTGCACGTAGTACCCATACAGCCAACCTACAGCCTGAAAGTAAGTACATATCTAGTCTTATCATTTTACTACCTGTATAGCTATTAAATCTACCGATAAGTATTTATGATTGATTATGCCGCATCTTACTTGACAAATACCCGATCAGTATAGAAGCGTATTTATAATTTTAACAACTACCCCCGTATACTGTTCAATCAATTTAAGTAAGAAAATTTTTTTCCTGAAATTTTACAGCATTCATGATACAATATGTTATCCTGGACTAAAAAGGAATTTTTACTTACACCAAATGTAACCACAATGATCTGAAACAGTCTCTCAGCCAGTTTTTGTCCCTCAAAGTCCTGAAATAAAAAATATATGAACTATACAATTACTAAACAAAGAATTCTGGCTGATGTAACCATATTCTCTCAGTTTTGTAGTGTAAATCAGTTTACATGTTCTGCAGTTCACATACCATATGTTGTAAAAAATCTGAGATCTTTGTTTTACTTTTTACCTTTATCCTCTTTTGTGGTTACATACTTTTTTTTTTACATATTGTACTAAAAGTAATTTACATTGACAATACTCTTGTAGGTTAAAATATCACAATTATTTTCTTTCAATTGTGTTTTTCTGCCAACAATTTTCCCAATCAGTGTACTCAAAAGAAACCCTAAGTTTATGTCCATTAGGTACAGTAGCTACAACAACTATCTGTGCAGGGTCCGACTAATTACCCAAATGTAGCCAAATATAGCCGGAATGAAGTCAAATAATGGTCCTAGATGAATAAATCGGACTGCCAATCACTTCTCGACAAGTATTTGGTGTCACAGTCACAAAAAATTGGTAAACTTAATTTAATCTGAGTTAATAGATCGAGTGCATGTACCTAACCTAACCTAACCTCGACTAGTATTTGGCGTCATGAAGTCAAAAAAAATTGGTAAACTTAATTCAATCTGAGTTAATAGATCAAGTGCATGTACCTTACCTAACCTAATCTATTCTAACCTAACCTAACCCAACACAACTCAGATTAAATTAAGTTTACCAATTTTTTTTGACTTTATGACACCAAATAATAATCGAGAAGTGATTCACAGCCCGAATTACGCTTGTACGACCATCATTTGACTTCATTACGACTACATTTGGGTAATTCTTCGCTCCGTCGCTACATGCACGCGATCTATTAACTCAGATTAAAGTAAGTTTACCAATTTTTTGTGACTTTGTGACACCAAATACTAGTCGAGAAGTGATTCGCAGTCCGATTTATTCATCTAGGACCATTATTTGACTTCATTCCGGCTATATTTGGTACCATATCCGCGGGTTTATACTTGATTAAACAGATTACAATATACCATATTTAAAATACCTATACCTATAATTACTATGAACACCTAAATCAATGTGAACTTATATTACAATATTACTGAATAATTACCATTCTTCTTACACGGGTGAATTACAACACTGATAGGGAACATAACTACCATTATCGATCACCAAACTTACCATATGGACCGAAAATCCCAAAACTGTGTCCATCATACTAACAATATTTTAGGAATGGCTTTAGTTAGTGATAAAAGACGAGAAAGAATTATCACAATCTGGTGAGAGAGAGAGAGAGCGTCTGTCGTGTCACCGCTGGATTGATTATCACACGTAAACAATTATATAAGAAACTATTGTAAATCTGATATAAATTTTCTCTAAAATATATAATAGTGATCCAGTAAATATAATATGTTTTTTAAAGTATGTATTTTGTTATTTGAATGTGTGGAAATATTCACAGATTTAACTATGCTTTAATTTTTGTACGTGTATTGTTATATAGAAAATCAATCATAAAGCGGTAAATATAAAACAAACTGTAAGGTTAGTTAAATAGAATACCACATTTACGTTACCCCTTACTTTACTTTATCTCTCTCGTTACTTGTCACTTACCACTAACATCTCAAGGTCTCATTTAGCTCAGTCATGTCAATATTGTTATTATTGTTCATTCTGAATACGTATTTTTCTGGCTAAATTCCCCAGTACTTGCCAATGGTGCGAATGTGATTATTGTTCCTTATATGAACGAAAAGTACATTGCTTTCAGATGCTGTTCTAATATTATACTTGTGCTGTTTTATTCTAGGTTGCAATGCTTTCCCAGTCTGACCTACATAATTTCCATTACAACAATTGCTACATGGAATGTAGTAAGCACTTCCATTTCCAATGAATGTTGGGCTATTCTTATATATATATATATATATATATATATATATATATATATATATATATATATATATATATATATATATATATATATATATATATATATATATATATATATATATACTGTATATAAATTAAAACCATGATGCAAATGATGAAAATTTAATGAATATATGAAGGTTTTTTTTAGTTTAACAAATTTATTGACAAAACTTGTAGTACAGTTTGCCTATTCTGAGTATTTAGAGTTATAAAGTATACTCCTGTATTAGATGTACTGTATATAGTAAATAAAAGATCTTGGCAACATTGTGCAAACTACAGTATTGCCAAAGGCTCATGGCCACAGTGTATAAATCAAAATTACCGTATGGCATTGTAAAACTCTGTATCAAGCGACTGTACAATTATAGTACTTATATCACATATTATATTTTTATATATGGTGAATTTGGCATTATATATAAGAGATTGGCGGTAGAATAGGGCGAGTTAAGGGTGTAGGTGCGCTTGACGCTGCTCCTCCATCTTGGTGTTGTTGAGGCTGTGGTGCTGCGCGCTGTTACCAAGCCAAGATGGCTGACAATTTACACGACGATGATGGATTGCACGACGTCAAGCCCAACTTTGGGTATTGGTTTGACGTTGAAGAGGCCACGAGACAAGTTTCCCTTTATGAGGAAAAAACTGGCACGAGATTCGGTTTCCAGAGGGAGGACGCAAACTTCGGTACAGGCAGTGAGTCGCACCCTATACCCCATCCATCTTACAGATAGGATAACGACGTACAAAGTTCTATATCAGTCCATGCAATGCATTTTAGAAGGTGATTTACTTAAATACACATTAGGACTGCAAGAGGATAAAGTTGGGATGTTTTTCAATGGTTGACATTTACAGTTGTTGCTAAAATGACGGAGGTAATAAGAGGTAGAGGTCATTCGGCAGAGTTGGGTGTGGGAACACTGTTTCCTGGTCCTTCCAGCCCTCGTATTATATCATTTTACTATGTTATGTCCACCAGCAGAGTTTATTATGTGGGCAGCTTTTAATGCGGTAATGGATTGATATTCACTTGTATTTAATGAAGCAAACGAGCTGTGTATATCCTTAAAGTATATTAGTCGCCTCGGCCAAGAGTTCTCTCCCTCTTGGTGTAAATACTCTAAAGTCTGGGATACTTAGACACACGTTGTTATATTCAGTCAATGGCTCCAGCTCTACAGTTAATGACTTATGGCTGTGGTGATGGCAGAAGAGGCAGTTATCATAACACTGAATAGGTGTATCTATATGAGCCTTCCATATCCTGTGTAAATGTTCAGGCAAACTATTATGTTCAAACAGCATAGTAAGAATATAAACATCAAAACAAATAATGCATCGTCCTGTTTAGCCAGTTGGGGTATGCCCATTACGTCACCAACCCGTTTCGTCACCGCGTTCATTCCCATCAATATATACACGAAAATAACTGTTGCATGGGATAGACAATAATAAAAAACACCTTTTTAATACTCCTGCAATCATCTCACTTAAACAATAATTATGTGAAAGACTAAAGTTTACTCATGCAAGCATGGAAGAAGACTGGCAACTTATATTAGGAAATTAGAAGTTGTGATATTTTTCTTTTTATTCATCCCACAGCTTCCAGAGACTGACTTGTTTGTCATGATTTTTTTTTGTGTGTACGGTTTTAGCTTGTGCTCGGTAACTATTCGTGTAAAATAATAACTTACAATTTGTCACAAATACTAGCGACTGTTAGTGGTGACAAAACGGATTTGATATTAGTGACGAAATGGGTTTTTGGTGACGAACCGGGTTGGTGACAAGAGGTTTTTAATTTTATTCAGGTTCGTTGGACGAATTTACACTGGCCTTGCTGAACCGTATTTTTAGGTTAATAATGTAACCCTACAGAGGGAGAGTTATCTGCATGGTTCATCTGAACTGTACTGTACGTATCTTGAGTAGGAGTGTGAAGAAAAAAGGTTAAAAGGTGTAGAAAAGGGTGACCACCAGAAGTTGTTTGTTGATTTTCTTGACTTTTGCTATGCTAGTTGTTTTGATGATTTAATGTTTATTAAAAGAAACGACAACTTTCTATTATGATTTTAAATTTGTTAGGATTTTTTTATTTACTCTATCCCGCTTCACAATTCTCCTTCCGGCACCATTTTTGTTGTTTATCTCGCTGAGTCCCTTTTCAAGAGACGTTTCCTAAATAATGGTGAACGCTTCCACGTTTTCCTCCTCTCCATTACTGATGTATGTCAACCTCAATATTAAGGTAAGTTGTTTAATACATAAATTAACACAATAATGCATATAACCTAATAGAACCTGACCTAACAAACCCATAGGTTGGGTATGTTTGGTCAGGTTCTATGCATTATCGTTATCATATTTGTGTTTAATATCATGATTGTGTAGAAAACATTTCAACCAATTCGGACAATTCCTTCTGGTGGTCACCCTTTTCTACACCTTTACCGAAAAAAATGTAAAATTTTAGGGAATCTGAGTAACACCAAGATATTTTCTTGAGTGGTGTGTTTTTGGTATCACTTAATGACAGGGTCCCTGTTAACCAGCTACTGATAATAGTCTAGATAACTGACTAGTGGGAAGGACCCACTATAGGAAAATTGGGTGAATTTATAGTAGTACACCGGTCTTTCTCTCGCTGTTTTTAATATGTATTTCGGAATGTTTAGACAATTCTAAGACATTTTTCTTCTATGATATTTCTGCCGGAAATTAAGGATAACCGAGATATTAAATTTTCAATATCATTAGATTTCCTCAGTCACATATTGTGTAGAAGAAATCTTGTTTCTTACCTATGGAGTAACAATAAATGGTTAGAGGAATTATAACTTTCCTATGTTTGTATATTTAAATTTTTGTTCCCAGAGTAAATACAGTTTGCCAATGTACAGAGGCCACCATTTTTATGGCTAAACTGTTGACACGCTTGCCACTGAGGGATCCTAACTCTTAAGACACCTTCCCAGCAAACTGTCCATACAAACTGTGTATAAGAAAATAACACCCTAACCAACCTATCTAACAAAACTAATTAATACATGCAGTAATACAAAATACTGTACTAATACTGCAGTAATTGCTATGAAACATCAATAAAAAAATTCAAAAGATGCTTTTTTTTAATAGAAGCATTAGGAAAGTTGTACTGTAATTCCTCCAACCAATTATTGATATCTGAGGTACGAAACAAGTTCTCTTGTGCATGGCTTGTGTGTGCTCTTCAATTTACCCTTTTGATGATAAAATTTATGTGCAACACGAGTTGTTTCGATAGTGACCATAAGGTGAATGTCTCTGAATATTCTCGTAGGTGCCAGAAAGATGTTGATAAGTGGATAAAGGTAATAGCAAAGAAGAAAAGGAATGTGAGTCGGGTGTACAGTATGTCAGCACGTAGAGTATACAAAGTGATTGCTGCTTTTTTTTATGGGTATAAGTGATACTCTGTCAAAATGGACAATATTTTTATTATACTCTTTTATGTGCTGTCAGTGCTATTAATTATGCTAAGCTTTGATTTTTTTATGAGTGATTAATAATACACATAATTATTGTTAATAGTAATAGTAGTATGAAATTTTATACATTTTCCCCATGGATATTCATAAAATATTACCTTAACACTACAAAATAAGACAAATGAGATGAAAATTTATACAGATTTGCTTGAGTTATGAACAGAGAAAGGTACAAAATTTTCAAATTTGTTTTTCTCAAAATTTATATTGTGCATGCTTGCCATTCTTATGCTCAATGCCTCATGTAACCTTACTCATTTGACTTACAGCTTTAAACAATGAAGACTGTCGCATACAGTGGGAAGAGAATGAAAAATACCAAGGAGAACGGTTAGTTTTTGATGGTGTCCCATTCGTTGTTTTGGGAACCAGACATCTTGGTTGTCAATATGGTATAAGAAATGCAGTGAAGAAAGACAAATACATAGAATGGAGAAAGGTTAGTACGGTACTGTAAATTTTTATATTGTATTATAATAGTTAACGGTAGTGACAGTATTGATGTACGTACAGTGTATAAGAGAACATAGATCTCTTGAATCTTAGGAACCCTTGCTTATTTCAATGGATGATAAACCCCTAATTCTAACCTAACTGCGCCATTTAGCATTAAGGTGTTACATCAGGGTGAAATAAGTGGGGGATCCTAATCTTCACTAGATCTGAGGACTCTTTAGACCCGGTATTCATTCCCTATTTTTCACAAAGCACCAATGGATTTGTGATAGTCTGGCACTGCTCTTCTACAATGCTTAAAATCGTACTCACGAGCATCAGTTCTAAGAATGTTTTTAATCATTGGTAAAGAGCACTGCCAGACTATTGAGGAGCACAGTGGTACTCACAAGCAACAGGTGGGGAACTCCTCTTTTATTCAATAGCTGAAAGCATTGTTTAATTACAATGATATCCCTGTTAGCCGGAACAATTGGTGCAGAGCACTTCCGGGAATAAGAGATTTCCAGGTAATGAGACGACTCTCTCAACGCCGGAAAAAAATCCCTCAACCCCGGAATTTTCTGGGTTACGGAAAAATATTCTCAGAAGTTCCAGAAATTGCCCATTATGTCATCTCTCGAACCCGGAAAAATATCCCTCGCTCCCGGAATTTTCGGGGTAACGGAAAAATTTACTCGGAATTTCCAGAAAATGCCCCTGATTTTCATCTATCAAACCCGGAAAAAACTCCTCCATCCCCGGAGTTTTCCGGGCAACGGGAAAATTATCTTGGAAATTTCCAGAAAATGTACCCCTTGGAAAATCGTTCCCAAAGCCGGAATTTTCCGGAAAATCTAGCTTTGGGAACGATTTTACGAGAAAATTTCAATTCCTGCTATCGGAAAGTTCCAGATTTGAGGGATTCCGGCTAACAGAGATATTACTGTATTAGGTTTTGGATAAAGAGTCGAGATTATGAAATGTGGTTATGATGGATGGTTTTCAGCGTAGTATATTAGAATGGCTGTACATTATTGTTTTTAAGTAAGTAGGTAAAGGGAGATAAATGTAGAGATTGTTTAATGTATTAATGAAAGAGAACTAAAGATAATGTACACTCGGTAAAAAATGTATCGTTCATGAGAGCTCCGATGAATTTCAAATTGAACAATCCACAAGGAGGGCTACCAATGCGAGGTATGCCTCATGGGCCTTTATCAAAAGCCTTCTTTCATGGTGTTATTTTGTTTTGCACAAGAATTGTAAAGATAAGTTTTTACTGAGTGTACCTACAATACACTGGAAGCCCCTAATTCTTTCTCCACTAATTTGAAGTATAATACCAGCTTATTTATACTATTCAATCTGTGTTGATTAATTTCTGAACATATCTATGAACTGTATATTCATCTATGAACTATGTATTTATTTGTTAAGTATTTATAATGCTGTTTGTCCAGTTTGTGTAATTGTTGTACAGAATGTAAGTTGTGGCCCCATTGATCCTAAGTCTCTTACCATTGTCTCTATGTATTGAAACACATGTTGCTAATTAATCAACAGGAGCATGTTGGACACAACAGCCCACCCAGGAGAGGTAGCTGCCCTGCTAAAGTCATCTTAAAGGAAGTCATCAAATTTCCTGATTACAAAGTAGGTATTATTTTCATATATTGCAGTATGCAGTGAGTAAAAGAATATTGCAGTGAATGGAGAGTTATTGTAAATATTGGAGAAGCTCACATCAAAATCCTAGGGAGGTCCATGAACGGGCTTTTGGAACCGGTATGTTTAACTTTATTTATCTATTTATTTATTTACAGTATATTTATCGATCTATCTTGGAGTCATTTTTATCCAAAGTTTGCATGCTGTTTTATTGAGAGCAGGATTGGCAAAATCCATTGTTTTTTATTTTGTATTTTAACCCAAGAACCATTGGTTTAATGTTTTTTTAAATTCTATTACTGTACTGTATATGGGTTTCAATATGCTATTAATCATAAACATTACATTCAGGATAATTAAGCAATCTTTTATACTTTTTCCATCTAAAAAAAATCAATGTGAAAAGGCAAATTTGAAAAACTAAGTTTAAGTTCCATCTTAATGAATGGACAAAACTATTCTATTTACAGTTGAAAGTTTTAAAGAATTTATTTAAGTACAGTTGGAGAGGGAGAGAGAGAGATGCCATTTATATTTTGAACAACCACTGGGATTTAACATATCCTTGTCTAATACCAACATTTATTTCAAATGTTTCACTTTCTTTCCAATATACTCTTACTGTTGCCCTGCTCTTCTCATAGAATGCTTTTACTGCATTTAATAGCCTACCTCCCACCCCATGCACTTGTAATGCCTCCCACAATGCTTTTTCTATTCACTTTATCATAAGCCTTTTCCAAATCTACTATAACTCGTTTGTGTTTCAGCACTTGGGGTCGTACCATGTATTTTGTTTAAATTTAATACAAAAGTACTACTTCACATGCTAATTAAGGATCTGGGTTCACAGTTTATAATATCAAGTAATAAGTTCTAATTAATGACCCTTGAATTAGTTAAAGATATTTAAAATATTTAAAAAGTCAGTGCTCTATTAGTCCTGCTCAGTTCATATCCCATGGAGGAGGAGTTGAAGGAGTTATTAACTGAGCATATGAAGAATATTATTTCCAGTGTTACATGGAATTTCAAGATGCTTTGAACTAACTTCTTATATTTTGAAGACATTTTGGCCAACTGATTTGGATATAATTTGTTTTTTTCTTAATTATAATTCTTATTGATTGTGTTGTGTTAATTGATAAGTAAACTTTATAGATTGATGCCAACACTAACTATGAGAAGAAGAAGTGGTCTAAAGTGATTCGGGATGATCTAGTGATGGGGACGGCTCACCCTCAGCAAAGGATTTACGTTGAACTTCCCGACAGTGAAGCACACGTTCACTCTGTCTTATTAAAGGTATAATCAAATTTGTTTTTAAATATTGTAAAGATTTTTATAGTAAAATTGTAAATGATAAACATTGTTATATTATTAAATTCTTACGTAAAGATATATATGGTAAATGATTTTATTTAAGAATGTGAAAATTAATCCCTGTAAATGTTGCTGAGATTTTAAGTTGTCCTGTACTAAAATCATTATTAGTTGGCCTTCATAATAAGTTGCCCTTACACAAAATGCACATTTTCCAACACACTTAGGGATTAGTTAGTTATTTTCCTTGGGTTTTGCCTTATAATAGTTGTCTCTAGCCTGTGAGTGTCTCTCCCCACAGGACCATGTATGTTTAGAATGTAGACTGTGTTGTAGTCACCATTCATCATTGTCCTGTGTGGTGCTTATTTGATTTGCCATTCAATGTGTTGATATAATTATTATGTTCTTCAAACTACAGTACGGTATTGTGCTGTACTCGTATTTTTACAGTAATAGGAATTAGTATCTTAATATGGCTATTGTTGGTACTTTTATACCCAAGCTATTTTTTCATTCATTCAAGATTTCACATGAGACAGGTCTTATTGGGTAAGCTATTCAATATTGGATTTTTTTTATGTACAGTATATAATTGCAGAAAGTAAGTGAAGATACTGTAAGCAGACCTAACCCACTTCACTGTTTGATCTGCAATGGGAAACTGTTAACATCTGCCAGATCTGCTGTTACTCTGTTTTCTGAAGAGGTAAGAATCTGTCATTATCATTAGGGTGGAGGTGATGTTGGGTTATATGAAGTGGCAGAGTTGAACCAGAGAAATATATGTGCTGCTGTTAAAAAGCAATACTATAGCCTTACAGGTACATATCTAGAATCTAATGACAATTAGAATCTCCCGCTTATTTCTCCAGAGGATGAAACGCCTTATGCTAACCTAATCAAACCAAACCTAACATCACTTAATCTAACCTAACCCAATTGGGTTTTAATTTTCATGAGATCCCATATCTATTGCAGCAGTAGAATGAATGAATGCAAATGAAGGAAGACTGTATGTACAGTGAACCCTCACTTTACGTGGTCAATTGAACACACGGCGGCCCGCGTAAAGTGAGAAACGCGGAAAGTGAACAACATTACATATGGGATTAATTGAAATAGAGACCGGGCCGACCCACAAACTCCACTTTTTCAGACACAATACCTACGTTGTAGTAAAAATAACTTCTTAATTTTATGATGGTATGCACACACAATTAATAATTAAGAGAAATATCAATAATATTAGGTTTTTTAACACTTGCATTAGTAGAAAAGATGGCTGGGCACACGGGGATGGGGGGTTGGTTCCGAGGCAGAGGGCAGATTATTGGCCCTCACCTGTATCACTTGTATCAATTGTATCACTATCCACCACAGAGGCTTGCAGGGCCTCTTTGTCAAACCCCTCAAAGTCCATATAAGTCCATATCCTCACTATCATTATCACTATCACTGACTTGGGCCGACTGTGGTGGGTGGCGGGTGAAGAACTCGGTAATGTTTTGATGACTGGGCGACCTTGTGCGCACCCTGCTCGCGCCGCTCTCCGCGTAAAAGGGTACACACACCGCGGAAAGTGAGCTTTCCGGTTTCGGCAGGGTACCGCGTAAACGTGGAAACGCATAAGGTGAAACCGTGTAAAGCGGGGGTTTACTGTATGTGTTCATGTGTTTGCTCTTGTTTCCAGTCTCCCTGCTTTATAGTGTGACAAACCAAGGAGGAGGGAGAAAAAATTTGATCTTACTTTCTTGATATTATTCCCTGGACCTTATGGAAGGTGAGCACTGTAGCATAACTCATGTTACTGTAGCCAGGTTGTGGGTAATAACAGAAAAATGAGAGGCCCCATTGTTCTTAATTTGGATTGCATGAAGATTAGGCACTTTGTTTCAACTGATGATTAAACACCTTTACAGGGAATGCTGCCCGGGGAGGCTAATATTAGGGTGTTTGAGTACTAAGTAAAATAAGCTGAAGCGCCTAATCTTCATGTGATCCTTTAATTCTTGCCACCCAGCTCTGAAGCAAGAAGGAGAATGCTTGAATGAGAAAAATATTTAAATATGGAAGAAGATAGTATATGGAGGTGTTGTGGCATGTAGAAAATTGATAGTGTACCAAAAGTTACCTTAAGCCACAGAAATATTAAGGATTTCCTGGAGTGGAGAAAGGCAAGAGATTGATTCAAGAAGAAATTTGGTATGAGACACAAATGTTTTTGATATGAATAATTGTTAAGTATAGGAGTGATCTTAAATACCGTTGAACTGTTGTCATCCCATAATGACCCATAGATTGTTGTACTACTGTAATTGGAATAAAAGTTTCACTTCAGTTTTTGTATATTAAGTGACTTCATAATTATACTGTATGTGATAATTGGCTCTTACAGTGGCTGGCACATTTTTTGAGATGTGGCAACTCTGTGGAATGCTAATCTTGCATACTTAGCCTGGCTACTATTGTGAGGTTCCTTAGGGCCATTCTGGGAGTTTTAGTATGATCTAAACAAACACAGAGGTGCCACATCTCATAAAGGGTATAAAGGCAGGTGACTGTACAGTACATTTCTAACTCAGATATAATGTCATTTGTAATCACTTCACAGCAATACACCTTATTTATTGTCATTGGTATTTCTTGGTCTTCAAAATTACATTAGAAATTGACAGTGAGGTGACAGAAAAGATGTAACTTTTTTTTTACTGTAATGAGTGGGTGAATTAGATTATTGTATACAGTATATTTAAAGATAAAGGGATAATACTCTTGTGTTTTCCCCCAGGCACGAACATCTCATCGCCAGCTAGAGTTACATTCTGTCCTGAGTGATATTATTGACCAAGAACTAGAAGAAGAAATGTTGCACTCCAGCATTGTGTGCAGCAAGTGCTTTAACCTCATAGATGATATAGATTCTCTTGAAGAACAATTGGTTAATAAGAAACAGGTATGTAGTAATTAGTAAAAAGATAGCAATAGTATTGATGCTCCCATTTCATATACCTATTTTTGTCCCTCCACCACTGACCAAAGAAATTTACTGTATATATACTGTACATATATACATACATATACATACATACATACATACATATATACATACATATACATACATACATACATACATACATACATACATATATACATACATATACATACATACATACATACATACATACATATATACATATATACATATACTGTATATATACAGGGTATATATATTTTTTCAGATGGTTGCTAACAGATATAAGAGAACAGTTGCTGAAATCAACCAGAGTCCAGAATCTCCAGCGAGTTTCATGTTAGATGATGATGACTTTGCAGATGCCGCACCATTTGGTAAGACTGATGCAACTATCAAGGGGTTTAAAGTTGGCAATATATTGAATTTAGTGCCTGTATATGTGTGTAATTAAAGGGAATGCAATGCTTGGCTGGACCTAGCAACAAGCCCGCATGAGAACTCCATTGTATTTTATTCTTTCCTCTCCATTTTAATTTTTTATCTTATTTTCTGTTTTTCATTTCCTCTTCTACTGGTTTAAAATTTATATACTTTCCTTTTAAAATAAATAAATACATATGTGACAATTTAAACACATATTCCCATAATTTTTTCTTTCCCTTAGCTGGGATGGAGGGTAGCATAGTGAGGAGTTATCTTGTGAATGATAAGGCATGTAGAAGAGGTAGGGTAGTGGGGAGAGCCTCTCTGTTTGAGTTTGTTGACTGGGGCAAGGAAGGGGAAATAGGGTGAGAGAAGAAGAGGTAGGGGGAAGGGGGATGACAGTGGGGGGAGATTGTTGCTAATTGGCCATCATAGTTAAGGGAGGAACAAGGGTGAGTATATACACCAAGCTGTTTCCCAGGCTTAAGCATTAGCATGCAAGCCATGGGGCATTATGATGCTGACTGTGGCATCACCGTATATTTCCACTGGTGCTCCATGACGTCCAGGTTGGCATCATCACACACAAGGGATTAAGTCATGGCTGCATGTTTCCAGTTCGCTTTGTTTCTTAGTGTACTTAACAAGTGCAATACAGTACTCTATTCCTACACAAAATTCTGGCCAGTTTAAATTTTTTGTTAAAGGATCTGCAGGCTGTTGTTAGAATAAACATTAGGGTTATATGGTATTTGCTTTCTACTTTAAAAGTTTAGTTGCGTTCAACTAACTTGTTAAATTTTAGCCTTTTGTTATCCATATGAAAGTAAAAGTTTCATGCTTACCCAAATTGTATACAGTATATTGTACCTACTGTATTATCTAAGAGACTCACTCACAGGACACATTAGACATATATAGTATTTTGTAGGTGTAGTTTGTACCTTTTGTCATGCAACTAGAATAGATAAGAATAACTTATTTTTATGTGAAAGTGTGTGTCTTAGGATTGGTGCTTTTGTATCTAGGTAAAAGAAAGGGTCGAGGACGAGGTCGTGGAAGACCGCCAGGTCGTCCTCGTGGGAGAGGAAGAGGACGCCCTCGTGGACGACCAAAAGGAAGTGCTCCAATAAAGTCACCAGAAAAGTGCATAGTGAAATTAGAATTAGAACCAGCTGATGATAATGGTCTCGAGAATGTTACTTTCTTCTCAGCCTTGAAGTCCCCACCTTCTCTGAAGACTATTAAGAAGGAGGATATTATGGTCAGTATAGTTCATAATAATTGGCAAAAATATGTACAATATAAACATTACTTACTGCACTATATTAGGTTGTGAATGAATTGAAAAGGTTTACCTTCCAAAAGTTAAGACTTTTAAACTAATTGTATTGGGCCTTTTGTGTCTTAAACTTCATGGTTAAGGATTTAGTAAAACAAATTCTCTGTACTGGGGTAAACTTCTTTATTTTTTCATGGATGAATAACTTTTAACCTCCCAATAATATTCCCTTTTTATTTGAGGATTTTGTACTCCCTGATCCTTCCCACACAAAACTAGCATGCTTTATCCTTTACAGAGTGACCTAGAAACCCCGGATCACCAACAGAAAACTGAAAATATAGAGGATACAGGAACAAATGTAGATGATATGATTGATGAGGTTAGTGGAGCGGACATGCCACTAGTAGATGGAGATGTTGCCGTGGAAATCCAGGGTGATGTTTTGGAAGTTGTTGAGGAAGTGTTAGAAGAGGAGGTGAAGCAAGGGAAGAGATTTTCTTGTTCAGAATGTGAGAAGCAGTTTCTTACCAAAGCTGCTGTGAGAAACCACATTAAAGTTCATAATCGTCTAGATTCATATGACTGTGAGGAATGTGAGAAATCATTTGCAACCAAATATCGTCTAAAAGCTCACTTGAAAACTCATATTGATAGGGATAGACCTCATAAGTGTAGAGTTTGCAATAAATCCTTTTATACACGTTATCATCTGAATACGCACATGAGATCCCATGAAGGAGTAAGAAATTTTGTTTGTGAACTATGTGGCAAGGCCTTGTCCACACAAAAGACCCTGGAGCTTCATGCACTGACTCACACTGGTGAGAAGCCATTCCAATGTGAGATCTGTGGTTCTACTTTTAGGCAGAGAAGTAACCTGCTCACGCATATCAAAGCAACACATTATCAAGAAAAGAATTATCATTGTCAGATGTGTCAAAAATCTTTTGTAAGAAAGAGGCTTTTAGTTTATCACATGAATAGTGTTCACACTGGCCAAAGGCCATACAAGTGTGAACTGTGTAATGCTAGCTTTGTGTACCCACATTATTACAAGAGGCATTTACGAAAACACACTGGAATCAAGCCACACAAATGTAATGTTTGTGGTAAGACTTTTGCTTCAAGGGAAAACCGTAATGCTCACATGTTCATACACTCTGACAAAAAGCCATACGAATGCAAAATCTGTGGGGCAGGTTTCATGCGAAAGCCATTGTGTGTGTCACATTTGGCAAATCATGGCCACACTGAAAATGCCGAGGACTATATACTTTTTAATTCTCCGAGCCTACTAGTTGGTGGCCACGAAGAATTGATAGTAGCTGAAGATGAGGAAGCAGCGCGTGCTGTTCATGCAGTCAGGATGGCTGAAGAAACCAGTGCACAAGAAACAATAGTAGCAGAATCAACACAGATAATGCGTGATACAAAAGTAGTGAAGGTTATGTCTAGACCTGTACATATTATTGAGGCGGATGACACTACTCGATATGTTATTCATTCAGGAGACCGTGTGAGGGATGAAAACATGGAGCACTTTTTTGCTGCTTTACAAGGTCAAGTTGTTGAGGTGCGTACAGAGGACTTCTAGTATGTACAGTGTTTGTTTTCCTTTGATTAATTGTATTGGTTTTAAACGCAGTGCACATTATTGCACGTCTTCTTTGTATACAGTAATCTTGGAGTATTTTTGCAGGTGTAGCCATCATAACGCCCATTTGTATACAAACTCCTTAACTTTCTTTATTTTACATCAGCTCTTGCAGTAGTTTAACATCTGCCTTTTGTCTTTCTCTCCATAAATCCACAACTCATCAGTCCTGACAGCACACCATCTCTTATATACATTTCACTTATTACATACTTACAAGCCATTTGTTGCTACAATGCAGAATAACCAAAATCATGAGGAACACAAACTCTCCCTTCATATACTGCAAGTCTGTCACTAACTCTGACTGCTACAACATATGTGCTTTGTTTTGATGTTCTCCTTCCACAACAAGACTCCAAGACACCTATTTCAATGATCCCTGTTGCTTTCTACAGCTCAGTAGCATATTTATTCACTCCTATCTTCATTCATTATTTTCATTACTGTAATATTGTTTCTGTTATTTAAGACTTTACAGTATCTCAGTATTAATTCATATCACTTGTTAAATGTTATTAAGTACTAAGTTTGTATGTTCATAAAAAAATGTTGACTTATCATTTGTTGTAAATTAAATAAAGATATTGACACTATGAAAGAATAATTTGTATATATTGTAATTCCTATCATCCAAAGAACATCTGAGGAAAAATGAATAACATCGAACAACACCTTCTGGTGTTAGCCATCTGCTTCAGCATTACCAGATATTAGAGGGAAGGTTAAAGGTAAGGTTCACCCTTCCCTTTAACCTTATGACAATTTATGTCATTTTACTCCTAAGCTGACAATTGTGTCACTTTTTCCTACATTTTCCTTTCTGCCTCATTAATAATGTCCAAACTCGCCCAAAATAAAACTTGTATGTTTTACAATCAACTCAATACATCACACATGTATTTATGGAAATTTAATGTACAGTACATTTAAATTTATTAATCCAGCGTAAAGGCAGTTCAAGGATAACAGGTATTGTAAGCCCAAGAACACGCCCTTATCTCATGCCTATAACTGAATTCCTGAGTTTCTACGACAGTGATACACCTAAACAGATGCCCAATAAATTAAATGAATTACCGAAAGATTTTATGATACAGTATGTAACCACAATGAAATGGTAAGAATGACTAATAATAAAGGCAAAACATACACACCTGTGTACTCTTAAAAAGATGAGGTGAAGGTGACCTAATTGAAGTTTATAAACATCACGGAGGGCTCTACTCACTCGAGTATCCATACCTTATCTGGCAGACACCCGCCCTACAAGGAGTCACAGCTCAAGATTGAAGAAGCCAAAAGTCCAGATAACTGTGAAGGCAGCTGCTGTGCTGGCCAGCTGCTGTGCTGGACTCTACCTGGGACTGCCATTACTGGACGAATGCAAAATGTACTACAAAACAATGAAGTTTTTAGGGTGATGCCGCTTGTAGAAGGGCCCCAAGGGGCGCCGTCGCCCCTGCAAAGGCACCCACTGCCACTAGCAGGGCCGATAGCAGCGCCGCCGGCCCTAGGAGGGCCCATAGGGGCGCCGCAGCCCCTGGCAGGGTAATTGTGGGCAGTGGCTCCCCAAAGAGGTACCCTGGGGGTAGTCACTGCCTCTGGGAGGGCCCCTGAAGGCGCCACCACCGCTGGCAGGGCCTCTGGGAACACCACGGTCCTTAGGAACGTACCTGGAAACGCCCCCGTCCCTGGAAAAACCCCTGGGGTTACCGCTGTCCCTGTGAGGGCCCCTCGGGTCGCCAGCGCCCCTAGCAGGGCCCATGGGGGCGCCGCCGTGTCTGTGAGGGTCCCTAGGAGCGTTGCCGTCCCTGAGAGGACCATGGAAACTCGGCAGTTTCTGGAGGAGCCCCTGTGAACGCCGCCTTCCCTGAGAAAGCCCCTAGGATTGTCGTTGTCCCTAAGAGGGTCCCTGGTGGATCCAGCACCCCTGGTGGATCAGGTGCCCCTGAGAGGTCCGCCGGGGTCACCGCCGACCTTGAGAGGGCCCTGGGAGTGCCTTCGTGCCTGGCATGGCCAAGTGACCCTCACAGGGATAACGTCGATCCCAGGGTCCCTTACAGGGACGGAAGCGCCTTTAGGGGTGTTCCCAGGGACGGCGACGTCCCCAGGGTCTCTACTACAGCGGTGGCACCTAGAGGGGCCCTTCAGAGGTGGTGTCTCCCACAGGATACCTCTTTGGGGCGCCACTGTCCACAATTACCCTGCCAGGGGCTGCAGCGCCCCTATGGGCCCTCCTAGGGCCGGCGGCACTGCTATGGGCCTGCTAGTGGCAGTGGGTGCCTTTCCAGGGGCGGCAGGGTCTCTGCCAGGGGCGACGGCGCCCCCAGGGGCCCTTCCACAGGCGGCATCGCCCCAAAAACTTCATAGTTTTGTAGTACATTTTGCATTCGTCCAGTAATCCCTTACTTAACTGTGATTGGTGGAGCAAGATGTGACGTCATCAAATTACAGCCAATAGGAGAACAGAGCAATCAGTCAGCACAACACCCCAACTTATGCTTTGCTGTTGGATATTTATTTTCGTTTCACTATTTAAATTCTGGAAGATATGACGTTAAATAAATACACAGCCCATCGCATTTTCAGTATGATCGCAACCTGAAAAATGAAAAGGAACATAAATATCCAACAGCAAACCATAAGTTGGGGTGTTGTGCTAATTGGTTGCTCTTTTTTCCTAGTGGCTGTAATTTGATGACATTACCACTTATTCCTCCAATCACAGTTAATTAAGAGATTACTGGAAGAATGCAATATATATGACACCACTATCCATTTTTTTGGGGCGCCGCCTCCCCTAGGAGGACCCATTGTGAGCCACAGGCATTGGCAGGGTCCCTGGGAGCAGTGGCGCCCCATAAAGAGGCCTGGGGGGATCCACCGCCTCTGCAAGGGCCCCTGAAGGCTCCACCGCCACTGGCAGGGCCTCTGGGAGGACCTCTGGGAACACCACGGTCCTTAGGAACGTACCTGGATATCCCCCCGTCCCTGGAAAAACCCCTGGGATCACGGCTGTCCCTATGAGGGCCCCTCGGGTCGCCAGCGCCCCTAGCAGGGCCCATGGGGGCCCCGCCGTGTCTGTGAGGGTCCCTAGGAGCGTTGCCGTCCCTGAGAGGATAATGGAAACTCGGCAGTTTCGGGAGGAGCCCCTGTGAACGCCGCCTTCCCTGAGAAAGCCCCTAGGATTGTCGTTGTCCCTAAGAGGGTCCCTAGTGGATCCAGCGCCCCTGGTGGATCAGGCGCCCCTAAGATGTCCCCTGGGGGCACCGCCGACCCTGAGAGGGCCCTGGGATCGCCTTCGTGCCTGGCATGGCCAAGTGACCCTCACAGGGATAACGTCGATCCCAGGGTCCCTTACAGGGACGGAAGCGCCTTTAGGGGTGTTCGCAGGGACGGCGACGTCCCCAGGGTCTCTACCACAGCGGTGGCACCTAGAGGCGCCCTTCAGAGGTGGTGTCTCCCACAGGATACCTCTTTGGGGCGCCACTGTCCACAATTACCCTGCCAGGGGCTGCAGCGCCCCTATGGGCCCTCCTAGGGCCGGCGGCGCTGCTATGGGCCCTGCTAGTGGCAGTGGGAGCCTTTCCAGGGGCGGCAGGGTTTCTGCCAGGGGCGACGGCGCCCCCAGGGGCCCTTCCACAGGCAGCATCGCCCCAAAAACTTCATAGTTTTGTAGTACATTTTGCATTCGTCCAGTAATCCCTTACTTAACTGTGATTGGTGGAGAAGATGTGACGTCATCAAATTACAGCCAATAGGAGAACAGAGCAATCAGTCAGCACAACACCCCAACTTATGCGTTGCTGTTGGATATTTAATTTTTCGCTTTCACTATTTAAATTCTGGGAGATATGACGTTAAATAAATACACCGCCCATCGCATTTTCAGTATTATCAAGAATTTGTTTCCTGGCTGTAATTTGATGACGCCATCAAATTACAGCCAATAGGAGCAGAACAGAGCAATCAGTCAGCACAACACCCCAACTTATGCTTTGCTGTTGATATTTATTTTCGTTTCACTATTTAAATTCTGGAAGATAATGACGTAAATAAATACACAGCCCATCGCATTTTCAGTATGATTCAACCTGAAAATGAAAAGGAAAATTTTGTGTTGGTGGTGATTGTTTGTTTATTTGCTGTAATTTGATGACGCCACATCAAATTACAGCCAATAGGAGAACAGAGCAATCAGTCAGCACAACACCCCAACTTATGCTTTGCTGTTGGATATTTATTTTCGTTTCACTATTTAAATTCTGGAAGATATGACGTTAAATAAATAGACAGCCCATCGCATTTTCAGTATGATCTCAACCTGAAAAATGAAAAGGAAAATAAATATTCAACAGCAAACCATAAGTTGGGGTGTTATGCTAATTGGTTGCTCTTTTTTCCTAGTGGCTGTAATTTGATGACATTACCACTTATTCCTCCAATCACAGTTAATTAAGAGATTTCTGGAAGAATGCAATATATATGACACCACTATCCATTGTTTTGGGGCGCCGCCTCCCCTAGGAGGACCCATTGTGAGCCACAGGCATTGTCAGGGTCCCTGGGAGCAGTGGCGCCCCATAAAGAGGCCTGGGGGGATCCACCGCCTCTCCAAGGGCCCCTGAAGGCTCCACCGCCGCTGGCAGGGCCTCTGCGAGGGCCTCTGGGAACACCACGGTCCTTAGGAACGTACCTGGAGATGTCCCTGTCCCTCGAAAAACCCCTGGGGTCAGCGCTGTCTTCATGAGGGCCCCTCGGGTCGCCAGCGCCCCTAGCAGGGCCCATGGGGGCCCCGCCGCGTCTGTGAGGGTCCCTAGGAGCGTTGCCGTCCCTGAGAGGACCATGGAAACTCGGCAGTTTCTGGAGGAGCCCCTGTGAACGCCGCCTTCCCTGAGAAAGCCCATAGGATTGTCGTTGTCCCTAAGAGGGTCCCTGGTGGATTCAGTGCCCCTGGTGGATCAGGCGCCCCTGACAGGTCCCCTGGGGGCACCGCCGACCCTGAGAGGGCCCTGGGGGCGCCTTAGTGACTGGCATGGCCAAGTGACCCTCACAGGGATAACGTCGATCCCAGGGTCTCTTACAGGGACGGAAGCGCCTTCAGGGGTGTTCCCAGGGGCGGCGATGTCTCCAGGGGCTCTCCCACAGCGGTGGCACCTTCAGGGGCCCTTAAGAGGTGGTGTCTCCCCCAGGATACCTCTTTGGGGCGCCACTGCCCACAATTACCCTACCAGGGGCTGCAGTGCCTTTATGGGCCCTCCTAGGGCCTGTGGCGCTGCTATGGGCACTGCTAGTGGCAGTGGGTGCCTTTCCAGGGGCGGCAGGGTCTCTGCCAGGGGCCACGGCGCCCCCAGGGGCCCTTCCACAGGCGGCATTGTCCCAAAAACTTCATAGTTTTGTACTATATCTTGCATTCGTCCAGGAATCACTTTACTTAACTGTGATTGGTGGAGCAAAATGTAACGTCATCAAATTACAGCCAATAGGAGAACAGAGCAATCAGTCAGCACAACACCCCAACTTATGCGTTGCTGTTGGATATTTAATTTTTCGCTTCACTATTTAAATTCTGGGAGATATGAC